CAGAGGAATTTTACTTTGCAGATGGAGAAAACAACACTTCATAATACAGACTGGAGATTTTGAAAAAAATAAATTATTACAGGGTTTTTTTTATTATTATTATTTAAAGGAACAAATAGTATTCAAATTAATTTCTATAGTGTTAATATTTTTTTAAAAATGAAGAATTTAAATAAAATACAACTATTTTTAGTACTTTATTAATAAAAACAAATGTATATTAGTATATGATGGTTGGTGGTTGTGATTGCTAATAATAACGATGGTTGTTGTGACTATTCACGAAGAATCGAGGGTGACGATGGTTGATAATTTATATATAGGATACATATATAGGTAGTGATTAGTGGTGATAATGGTTGATGATAGTTGCTAGCAATGACAATGGTAGTTGGTGAAGACAATTTGTAATTTGGCATAATACATATACATGATCTTTAACTTGGTTTCAACGGATAACTATGTCCTCCAACTTTGAGTGTGCACAAGTAGACATTCAAACTTGTATAAAATTGAACAAGTAGACACACGTGTCCTACATGATATAATATACATAGGACACAAAATTGTCATGTAGGACGAATGTGTCTATTTGTTTAATTTTAGGGAAAAAGGACAAATATATCCCCGAACTATCGTAAATGGTATGCAGATACCCTCCGTAATACTATTGGGACAATGGTGCCCCTGCCATCCAAAAACTAGAGCATATATGTCCTTCACTCTAACAGAAGACTAAATAGGGACATGTGGCGCAATCTTATCCGTCGATCCGATGTTTAATAAATGTCGGGTTGGTGGATAAGATTATGACACGTGTATATCCGTCAGTATAAGGGTATATATGCTCTAGTTTTTAGACGGCAGGGGCACCAATGTCCCAAAAATATGACGGAGGGTATCTACATACCATTTACGATAGTTCGGGGGTATATTTGTCTTTTTTTCCTTAATTTTATACAAGTTTAAGTGTCTACGTGTGCACACCCAAAGTTAAAAGTCATAGTTGTCAGTTGACACCAACTTAAGAATCATATTTATGTATTATGCCTTATAATTTTGATAAAAGGTGTTGAACTGCTGATAACTATTGGTAATGGTGATTGTCCGATTGATATCAATGGTTAGTTATATATGATGGTTATTTTTAGATGATTGATGATGATCGTGATGATTAATGTTGATAATTATGAATAGTAATTTATTTATAGTGATAATTGATCGCAAAATTGTTTGTATCAAATCAAATTTATTCGAATTGGATTATTTCAAAATTGAAAATTGAAAATTGAAATCAAATAATACAAAATCAAATTGGAAAATCAAATGCACACTTCTAACTACCTTGATGAATGGTGATAATGATAATATGATTATTAATAATAACTATTAGCAATAACACTTGATAATAATGGATCGATAATAATAACAGCAGATAGATTAGCTTGTAAATTTTTTCTTTAACAATCATTTTTAACTTGGAGAGTGCACTCTCTCTTTCTTCTCTGTCAGTGAAAGACAGCGTCAATTGATCATTATTCCACTTACGATTTAGTGCTTATATCGATCATACAAAGACGACTTTATTTCATTGAGGAGATGCAATACACATCTTTTCTGCTTTTCTATCATAGTCTATACTTGTCCGTCCAAATGATCGATGATGAAAACTTAAAGGATATGATATACTCATACAAAAAAAATTATGACAAAATTAATAAGGTGATAAACTCGGGAAAAAAACTTTTTTCCTTACATTGAACCTTAGTTGAAAGATGGGAAAGCTTCAACAAATCATCTATTTTCTTCTTTAAAACTAGAGTAAAGACATAAAGTAACCATTAAAGTTGTCCCGAATTTTCAAAAAGACGCTGTAACTTTGTGGGTGTCCTATTATCCCATTGAACAACTTCAAAACAGTATGTATACCCCGTTTTCCACCCAATACCACTTGTACAAAAATATTTGTAAGTCACGCACTAATAGTCACTTGACACGTGTTAAAAGTAATTTTTAATTATTTTTATTTGATTTCTTTGCTTTTCTTTTTCTTTTCTTTTATTTCTTTTTCTCTTTCTTCTTCGCCTCAACTTGTGTTCTTCAAGTACCCATTCCTTCATCATCGCTGCAAGCCTGCAACAATCATCAATCCCGATGTGGCGCGACTGATTTCGCAATAGCACTATCAATTATTTGTTAAACTATCACCAATTAATTTATTTATGAAAATAAACACCGTCAAATAATCAAAATCCAAATACTCAAAAATATCACCAAGTCAAAATCTAAAATTTAAATCACCACCTTCTCCAACTCCTTACTCCCAAATCAAGTTTTCCATAGTTTCATTGCTCCAAAATCCCAATCTTGATTTGTAGGAGGAAAAAAATACTAAACTAATTTGTTTACTAAACATTAGTTCTTTCTTTAAAAAAAAAAACAATGACCATAAAACGAAAAAGAAAAAAAGGAAAAAAAATGAAGGCAGACATGGATGCCCCAAGAAATATGTATAAGCTAATGATGGTAGGGAAGATGAGAAAAAAGATTTGAAAAAATAAAAACTATTCCTAATAAAGGTAAAAAAATTAATACATGAATTTTTATGGGTTTTTTTCAAAATAAGTCAAATTGGTCCTATTTCCAGTTGAAATAAAGTAGACCTTTGGTCCTGTTTTAACTAAAATAAAATAAAAAATGATTAGGTAAATAATTAATAAAGAAAGTAATTGAAATGTGACACTTTTCAATTGGTTTTTGACAATAAAAAAGGACCTTCACATGCGTCATGTACGTGGTCACAAACATAGTGAGAAAATGAGTCAAAATGGTCTTTTTACAAAGATATTCAATACTTTTGTGGGGTAATAGGACGCCCTCTAAGTTAAGGTGTCTTTATGAAAATTTGAAACAATTTCAGTTGTGCTTTTATGTCTTTACTATTAGAACTAATTGAAATGACATAATGTTTTACTATAAATGAGTTTCACCTTACTAAAACTCCACTTCCCAAATCGAACTTAATTAGAAACTTTTTTTATATATATAAAAATGAAAGATTTTAGCAATCCTTATCAAAGAAGGGTCCCATTGCACATTCAATTCATACACAAAGAATTCATAAACAAATAAACTTACATTGTTTAGAAAGCAAAAAAGAGAAAATTTGCAAGAAAAAGTTAAATAGATTAACCTACAAATAAAAGTCTTGAAAGAGTGAGTGTAGAAAAAGGTATTTCTTCCTTCTTTCAATAAAGAAGTCGATTTCCAAACTTACTTAAAATCATTCGTGATCCCCAATATTAAAAGTAAATAAAAAAATTATAAAAAAAAAATTGCAAAAAGAAAAATGGCGAAAAATATTTTGTTTTGTTTTTTAAAAAAGAACAAAGAACAAATTAATTTTTTTTGAAATCTTGAAAAAAATTTGCAGCCACTATCTTATAAGTATACATCAAGTAAATTCACTCAATCACTCTCATACATATAACTAGTAAATCACACATGAAATATAATCCTGCTTATATGCGCATAACTTATAAATTACAAATAAAATGTGAATTCACATTAAACAAGTTTAGTGTGACGAACTCGACTAAGAAGGCATTGACAAAAAAAATTGATCTCTAACCTTCCTTATACAAAACTACCTACTACACAAACTCAATATTGAGATAATTTTTTCAGCATGTAAAATTTCCATTTTTGATTATATAATTTCTACATATATATAGGGAAAAATAACAGATATACCCCGGACTATAAAAAATGTTTTATGTATATCTTTCGTTATATTATTGAGACACCACAGTCTTTATCGTTCAAAAGTGAAGCACTTATATTCTTCACACTAATGGACGGACACGTGTCATTATCCTGTGCATCTACCCAATTATTCACTTAATTTTAAGTAAAAATTAGGCAAATGACATAGTATAAAAAAGAAATTACTTCCTTTCCCTACTCTTTCATTAATTACCAAAAATCCCTTTTTTAGTGTTTTTCGGATACATAATATAGCAGTGTGGATACTTAATATAGCAGCGCAGATACTTTAATTAATAACGGGCGGATACTTAAATTATTAAGTTGTTAGCAGCACATATACTTAATTAACGGACGGATGCATAATATAACAGCGCGGATACTTTAATTAATAACGGGCGGATACTTAAATTATTAAGTTGTTAGCAGCACAGATACTTAATTAACGGGTGGATGTATAATATAGTAGCGCGGATACTTTAATTAATAATGAGCGGATACTTAAACTAATAAAGTATCCGGTTAAGTTGAATTGAGGGAAAATAAGGGATTTTTGTATTTTAGTAAAAGAGTAGGGAAATATTGAAAATAGGTAAAAAAAATGTTGTGTATTTAAGTAATTTTTCCTCCACAGAGAAAAACCATCCAAATTAAAGAATAACCCGCCCAAGTAATTATCTAATCCACCCACTCACTAACACCCTAATAATATACCCAAATCAAAACACTCCTACATGATGATTTCAAACAAATAGCTCAAAAGCACTCCTGCATGATGATTTCAAAAATAAAATGGACTGTACTTTTTGGAGGGCACAAATTCTTTACATAAACAGATCTTTTATCATCACTATACCAGCATTGTCAAAGTAGCTATTTAGTCTGAAGGAGAAATGAAGAAGAACTTGGGGGTGTTTTGATTTGGGTGTATTATTAGGGTGTTAATGAGTGAGTAAGTAAGATAATTACGATTTTTTTTTAAAATTTGGATGGTTTTCTTTTGGGTTAAAATTAAGTGAATAATTGAGTAGATGCATAAGATGATGACATTTGTTCATCTGTTATTGTAAATGATACAAATACTCCACTTTTTGGATGACAAAGATTCAAGTGTCCCAATAGTATAACTAAGGGTATAGCTATATTATTTTTGAGAATTCGAACTTCGAAATATATTTTATCACTTATATATATATATATATATTAAAAGTTCAGCATGGAGTGTAAAGAAAAAAAAGTACATAGAAGACAAAAGTGAACCGATTGCGACACCATTTTTCAGAGGACAAAAACCCCTTCTCTCCAAAGTCCAAATCTTTCCGCCGCCGCCGCCGGCCGTCGACCGTGAAATTGATATGCAATAGATATTGATATGAGTAGAGAAGAGATTGTTAATACGATGACTGTTAGAGCAAAACCAGCAGCAGGATTAGCTATAGCTACTATTGTAAAGAATAATGGTCACCATCGCGATATTGATGAAGAAGGAGAGTCGAGGCTTGAACCAAATGTCGGGTTAGAGTTCGATTCAGCCGAAGATGCACAAGAGTTTTACAATCTCTATGCTACGAAAATTGGATTTAGGATTCGAATTGGTCAGCTCTATCGTTCCCGGATTGATGGGTCTGTTGTTTCCCGGAGATTTGTTTGTTCCAAAGAGGGGTTTCAGACTACTTCAAGAACGGGATGTCCAGCTTTCATAAGAGTGCAAAGGCTTGATTCTGGGAAATGGGTACTTGCTAATATTAAGAAGGAACACAATCATGAGCTTGAACAGCCAGGTGAGATTTGCCCATCTCGAATTCAAAGAAAAATTGTTACCCCTACCCCTACCCCAACCCCGAAATCGAAATCAGCTTCTGTTTTATCAACTAGGACTGGACTTAGATCACTTGATGAGGATGGCCCATCTGGGATTCTCGATTTTAAGCGTCTTAAAAGGGAGAAAATTAATGGAGAAACTAGAAGTGAACCGTATAAGGGGTTGGAGTTTGTTTCTGCTGGTGAAGCGTATGAGTTTTATCATACTCATGCTGCTAATACTGGGTTTAAAGTTAGGATTGGTCAGCTGTTTCGTTCGAAGAATGATGGGTCGATTACCTCGCGGAGATTTGTTTGCTCTAAAGAAGGGCATCAGCATCCGTCGAGAGTAGGGTGTGGAGCTTTCATGAGGATACAGAGACAAGAATCAGGAAGGTGGTTGGTTGATCGTTTTCAAAATGAACATAACCATGAGCTTGGAGCTCCCATTGATGCTAGTGAGAGAGTGTCATCAAAAGGATTCAAAGAAGAATTAAGCCATGGGTTGGAGAATATGGATTTAGTTGAATCAAATGGAGGGTTTAGCCTTGTTACAAGGTCCAGGGAGAGTAAAATTGGAAGTGATTGGTATAATGAGCTTTTTGACTATTTTCAGGCTCGGCAGGCAGAAGATATGGGATTTTTCTATGCAGTGGAAATGCATAAGGGTAGAGCCATGAGTGTATTATGGGCTGACTCTCGGTCTAGATTCTCTTGCACTCAGTTTGGGGATGCAATTGTTTTCGACTCAACCTATAGAAGGGGTAGTTACTCAGTGCCACTTGCTTCGTTCATTGGTGTTAATCACCACAGGCAACCAGTACTTCTTGGCTGTGCCTTAATTGCTGAAGAGTCTGAAGAGTCATTTACTTGGTTGTTCCAAGCTTGGCTTCGGGCAATGTCAGGGCGTCGTCCTATCTCCATAGTTGCTGATCAAGACTGGGTCATTCAACATTCAATTGCTCAAGTTTTCCCCGGAACACATCATCGGTTTTCTGCATGGCAAGTTGTGGCTAAGGAGCAGGAAAACATTGGTGCATTGCTCTCGATGAATCCTGAATTTAAGTATGAATATGAAACTTGCATTTTCCAGAGCCAGACAGCTAATGAGTTTGAAGCAGCATGGAATGTGCTTATTAACAAGTATAATATGAGAGAGAACACATGGTTAAAGGATATGTATAGGATGCGTAAGAGTTGGGTGCCATTATACATTAAAGGCACATTCTTTGCTGGCATTCCAACGGACGGAAGCTTGAAGTCATATTTTGGCACAATATTGACATCTCAAGCACCACTTAGTGAATTTCTTATACGGTACGAAAAAGCCCTTGAACAACGTCGTGAAGAGGAAAGAAAAGAGGATTTTAACTCATTCAATTTGCAAGCAGTTCTGCACACAAAGGACCCTATAGAGGACCAGTGTAGAAGGCTTTACACTATTACGACGTTCAAAGTGTTCCAGAAAGAGCTTTTGGAGTGCTATAGTTATGTTGGAATTAAGATAAATGTTGAAGGTGCCATTAGTAGGTATCTGGTGCAGAAGTGTGGGAATGGAGATGAGAGGAATACAGTTGCCTTCAATGCCTCCAATATTAACATCAGTTGCAGTTGTAAAATGTTTGAGTTTGAAGGTGTGCTGTGTAGACATGCCTTGAAAGTTTTTCAGATAATGAACATAAGGGAGCTTCCATCTCGCTATATCCTACATCGTTGGACAAAGGATGCAAAATATGGTATACTACGTGATGTCGATTCAGGGGGTGCTTCTCAAGATCATAAGGCATTGATGTCGTGGAGCTTAAGAGAAGAAGCAAAGAATTACATTGAGGCAGGAACAGCATCTTTAGAAAGATATAAACTTGCGTTTGAGATCATGCAGGAGGGTAGAAGAAATCTTTGTTGGCAAAACTAGGGAAGTACGGGGTTTAACAAACATAGATAAGAGGTATTTTCCTCCTCCTTTTATTTCATTGCTATGAGTTGAACTGTATCTCCAGCGATGAATTTCAAGATTTGTACATGTTTGGATCTTTTCAGAAAAAAGAAAAGGAAAAAGATGCTTATTTATTTTCATTGCCTTCTCCTCACAAAATTACTTTAGTGTTATATTGCGTTGTGATTGATTATTCATCTGAATCACTGATCATAAACATAGATGCATTTTATTTCCGTCGTGATTGATCATTGTTTTTTTTTGGGAAAGTTAACATTTTATAGACAACAATACACCAATGGTGTAATTCAGTAGTAATTACATCAGGAGTATACAGTAAGCAAAACCAAAAGATCTATCATTTATACCCCTCCTAAACTATCTAAAAAGTGAGTAATATCTTCCACCTCTTTGGGGAGGACATGATTACACAAAAAATAAAGGGTTATAAGACGGTTCAACTTCAAACTCTGGAAAGGGATGCTCTTGTTTTCGAAGCATCTCTGGTTCCTTTCCTTCCAAATTGTCCACCAGATGCAAGCAGGGACAATCTTCCATTTCTCCTTGTGACCTGATGTATTCCCTTCTCTATTCCAGCATGCTAGAAAATCTGAGGTGTGTCTTGGCATGGACCAGCTGATTCCCCTCAAATTCAAAAAGACCTACCACAATTTCTCTGTCACTCTGCAATGGAGGAAGAGATGGTTTGTTATCTCTGTTTCTATTTCACAAAAAAAGCACCTGGAGAATAACTGTCTTCCCCTTTTCATTAGATTGTCCTGAGTTAGTACTGCTTCCCTAGCTACCAACCAGGTGAAACAAGCCACCTTGTGAGGAACATTAATTTTCCATATCATCTTCCAAGGCCATGGCAACAACATTTCAGCTGGCCTGTCAAAATGTCTATAAGCTGATTTTATTGTGAACTTCCCATTGTTGGCCCTCAGCCATTGTAAACTATCCTCCATTGTGTCAAGGTTATTTGCCTGCTCCAAAGACTTGTAAAAATCTGCTAATTTGTCTATCGTTATTGATCATTGTATTAGTCAATTACTCGTATCTTCTATCAATTTATATTTTTGTTTTGTTAAGCTGCTTTCTTTTTAGCTTTTATTTTTTTGCTTGGCAGATCGAGGCTTTCATCAAAATTCTTATTTGTAAATTAATTTTTGGACTCGACCATTTCTGAGTATGAGTTAGCCTCAATGTCATCAGATTATTTTCCAAATAATGTAGGGATAAGGCACAAGTACCACCCCGAACTATACCCGAAGACTGGTGGGAGTTAATCCCAGCCTGCATCTGGTGGTCCCTATGGAAAGAAAGGAACGGAAGATGTTTTGAGGATAAGAGAAACAACATCCAGAAAATTAGAATGAATTGTCTTAGTCTTTTGTACTTTTGGTGTAAACAAGATATGATGGGGGATATAGAACTTTTTGATGACTTCATAGGTAATTTGTAATCTCCCATAGGGTAGTTTGATATGCTCTGATGAGATTGTAAGTGACCTATGCTCATCATTTATTTGATGATGAGCCTTTTGTGAATACACAGTTACCTTTATCTCAAAAAACTATACCCGAAATTCCAGCGACACACCTAAACTTAACTAGGGTCCTATTACCCCCAACTAATTTAAAATGGAATAAATACACTATAAATGCTAACGTGGCATAGAGAGTGTGCACACTCTTTTGAAGACAATTGAAGATTACAAAAATAATTTTAAAAGTAATTAACAGGTACAAATGTCATTTTTTAATTGGACATTACTTAATTAATTAAGTCTAGTTAAATAGACTCCTTCATCTTCTAAATAGAAGGGATGTATTAGAATTGATGTTGACTGCTTGCTAACCATTGGTGTCTTCTCCGGCGTAGCATTCATACACTATAAACCTTCCCACCCTTATCCAAAACAATTCTTCACTCGAACTTTCTCGAAGACCCAACGCTACCCCTCTTTTATCTCTTCCTTTCTCCAATGAAAAATCCCATTTTCATGTTTGTCTCACATGGCATGTCTTTCTTCCAGTCATTTTCTGGCTTCTGCTATGGTAACTCCTAATTTTCGATGCTTACTGAAGAAGCGTTTAAGATAATTGGGTTTTGGGAAGGATTCTTTGAATGTTAGTGAGAATTAATATGAGTCTGAGGTTGAGGATTATGAGTCAGTAGCTGAGAATGAGGATGACCTTTCCGTTTCTCCGGTGTCTCTTCCGGTTGTATTCTACAGCGTTTTCTCCGATCGTCATGCATCAATAGGAGTACAAATCCTAGCATGTCAACACAGTCTCACCATTTTTACTTCCCTTTGAAAAAACAGATCTCACCACAAGAATGATTCAAGTTGAGGTGGAAAAGAACCACAAAAACGATTCAAGTAGCTGGTTGTGGAACTAATGAACCAGCAATGTCAGCAATTAATGAAAAGGGATTTTAATGGTAAAAAAAAAGATTTAATGCTTAAAAAGAATGTGGCTTCCATGATGGAGGTCTCAAGTTCGAAACTCCTTGCCAGTGAAAGCAAAGGGTTTGCCTTTTGGGTTGAGCTCGTCGCATCGGGCTTGCCTAGTGAGGGTCATCTCTCCTGTGTGGTTTGTGAGCTATTGCATAGGAGCGGGGTTCTACCCTGTGCGCACCCAAAAGATAGCTGCTGCGGGTTTCCCTTGTCATAAAAAAAAGAGAATGTGACACTTGTAATACACACAGAGGACACTCATTTGGTTATTATGCCACGTCAGCATCTAGGGTGACATTTATTTCATTATAAAATAGTTTAGGGGTAATAGGATCCTTAATTAAGTTTTGGTGTGTTGCTTGGATTTCGGGTATAGTTTGAGGGGGTACTTGTGTCTTATCCCAATAATGTATGTACCGAAGCTGATGTAAATGCTTTTATTAAGCGTATCAAACAGCTACCATTTATACACAACTGCCTTATATTTTTCATTGCCAGGTGACATTTTGTTGCATTTTTTTTCCCGATTAATGTCAATTGTTGTGTACAGATGCAGTGAGCATCCAAGAAAAGATCTGAATTTGACATGAAGCATTTAAATCCATTATTCAACTTTCTTACTGAAGGGAGTGAATTTCTATTTGAATCACTAATTCATTAGGTTACTTCTTTGAAGAGATATTGATCATAATCATGAAGTAAGAAGGGAGGTATTTGTTATACAATCATACTGCATATATAGTGGCTGAGTCAAAAGAATTATTGCGAAGTCCGTTGCTTGGCTTTAACGTGGTCGATGACAAACCTTAAAATGATAACCTCTCCTGGAGTGGGTTGCTGCAGTTTGAGTACTACATTTTAGTTTTTTTAACTCTTCTTGACTTGAGGAGATCGCGGAGCATTCACTTTCTATGTTACTATTTCCCAATTAAACTGCTTGATTCCCTTATATGAAAAAATTGGATGCTGGAGGGGGTTCTATTTGAATCATCTACTCTAGATTATTGTAATCCTTTAGTAATATCCGAACAAGGAAAGTTCTTCTCCACCATGTCATACTAAACTTGGTTCCTAGGTCAAAGACCATTAGTCGTCTTGAAAACTTAGTGATATTCTTGCAGAACATTGAAGCCAGTGTCAAAGTTTGATGATCAACCCCGTGTGATGCTGTGGCAGTCTGTTGTACCAACAATTTTGGTAATTCCAGAGCTTACAAGACTTGCTGCATATTTTGGATCAAGTCAGAGTATTTTGCCAAATGATAATTCGAGGATTGATGCTACCAAATAGTGATCCTCCTCCTGAAGCAAACAAACCATCATATGACTAATTTTCTTTCTCAATCACAATCACAAACTGCAACTGTAAATTAAAAATGTTGCTACAAATGATACTCTCCAGGGCTTCTTAGTAAAAACTGGACAATTTGTGGTACTGAAAGAAAGCTCGACCAAAACGGACAGTTGGAAAATCCATCATCAACCTCTGGAAAATGGATCCTGCAGTGATCATGTGGTGCATTTGGAAAGAAAGAGACCAATGCTATTCTGATGGATCTGTTTTTCTTGGAGCAGACTATCTAATGTAAATAGTATCGACTCGCGTTTGGATTTTGTAAGCTCCTTAAATTTTTTATAGGAGCCATTTGAAATTGTACAGGAGCTGTTGTTTTTGTAATCTATTTGCATCCTCTGGATGCTGGATGAGTGAAATCTACTCTTTACTTTATCAAAAAACTGGACAATTGTGACCATTGAGTTTTCTATTGTTATAGCTCATCTGGTCCTATATTTTGATGATATAGTCATTAGACTATGAGAAAATCACACAATTGAAGAAATATTTAGTCAGTCATATTAGAGCGGAGGGTCTTTTGGAAATAGGCTTTCTACCTCCACGAGCACGAGGTAGTGGCAAGGTCTGCCTCCCCACACTTCACTTGTGGGATTTCACAAGGATTTAAGTAAGCTCAAATACTTTGTGGTCTCTGATACATTGGACATCCTTTATTCGACACTCTTATTGGGTCTTACTTTAACACTTTATTGCGAAGAAAAATCAATAAAAAAACGAGCACTTAAGTAACTTCAATTAGGACAATTTGGTAGACATTACAGAGTTTTTCCTTATTTCTTAAACTTCGTGCTTCTATCAAATGGTGAGACATAAATTGGGCCGGAGGGAGAAGGAGTTTTTGGGTCATTTGATGGTGCTGGCTGCCTTTCAAGAATTGGCTGGTAATGGTTCCTCTCAATATATATTTTGTGAGAATTCTCTTAATACATTTATGGAAAATTTATTTAATATGTACGAATAATTTATGCAAGATCGTATTAGTCGAAAAGCATTGGAAAAAAAGAAAGGGGGCATTCCGAGAATTGAACTCGGGACCTCTCGCACCCTAAGCGAGAATCATACCACTAGACCAAATGCCCTTTGTTGTAAGCTGTGGTCTGTGTTTTAATTATAAATTACTTGAAGGTTAGATGAGCTTAGTAATATATATCATAAGCACTAAAATCATACTTCGTCAATAATTAAGGGACCAAAAGTGTTATTAACTCTTTAAAAGCAGTAGAAGAAGAAAAAAAACCTTATTTTGAGCATTCTATTTTCTTAGTTTAACATCTTACTCTTCCGTCTCAATTTATATGATATCCTTTCCTTTGTTATCTTCCCTAAAAAGAATGTTAGTTCATTTCTATAATTAGAGATAACTTATCTTTAAAAAATTTCCTTTTACTCTTTATGAGATGACGTATAGCCACAAAAATATTTAAGGTTTGTTTTTTTTCTTATATCAAGTTAAATGGTGTCACATAAATTGCGACTTAAGGGAATATTTATTTCCTTTTTCTCTTCTTTTCTTTTCCAGTTGGCAGCCTCTTATGTGGTTTATAATTATTATTGTTCATGGTAAGTTCTATATTCAAATTGTCTGTTTTTGCTCCAAAGTTGTCTTTTCTAATTTCTATGGTTGTCTGCATGAAATTAATTAAGGAGGGACCATTTGAACTAGTTGTGGTATGTTTGTTTGTTTAACTTTGTTTTCTTGCAGTCAATTGTTCTTGTTTCTCAAGTGAGCTGTTCGATGAGAATAGGTGAAGAAAATCATAATTTATAACATAAATTTTTCATTAATTCGTGAAGAGATAAACCTCTATTTCTAGTAATGATGAGACAATGCATATTCCATTCGTAAAGAGATGAACCTCTATTAAAAGTTAAAAGGGTTCAACGATGTCAATTAGATTTAATTTATATCTTAGATTCATTTTTTTATAATAATACATCCATATTTCATTCTCTCGAAATTCTGAATATACCTCGAGTAAGCTTGTCATTTGGCACATTGAAAAAATGTGGAAAAAGTATAAGCATTACTCATGACCACATCTGCCACTCTCAAATGAACCCCACAGAGTTTTGGATCATATTGAGACTTGACATTTCCTTACCATATAACCATACCATTTTCTGATACTGTTTGATTTGACATAAAATTGAGACAGAGAAAGCATTAATAATAAAATCTTTTTAAGTTGATTCCAATAAAAGATACCTTCTCTACCCCCTTCAAATTCACATTAATTCCTCTAACTTCATTCATCCTTGTCTTGATAACCATGGAAGAAAAATATAGTATAGGTTTGTTAGGTATAATGGATCAATTATGGTTTCATCAAATTATTCTCTTTTCAAAACCCCCATCAATTTCATTTCCTAAAAATCTTGAAAATCCCCTGCCTATTCAAGACTCTCTGACATCAGTTGAATCAGAAATCATTCTTCTACAGGTAACAAATTAACGAGCTTGCACTTAATAGTCAATCAATTCATTTTTCCGCTTTCCTATTGCACATTTCAACTCTTTGCTTATATAGTCCGTTAAGTCTAACTAATAGAAAGTGCCTATGAATTCGTTCCAACAAAAGTAGTTATTGTTGTTTATTTAAAAAAATAGAGTCCGTTAAGGATGTACTTGTTTTTCCTTCTTTCCTTTTTTTCGTCGAGATTGGGAGTTGGTGTTAGGCGTTGTTCTCTCTATTTGCAAAATTACCATATCAGACTTGATATAAAGAGTTATGTTATTATGTATAGTGTTATAATATCTCAATTTTACGCGATAGATGAAAAGGAATTTGTTACTGTCAGTGTACATAACTTAAATTGTCGTTTGAATTAAGGTTGTATTGTTTGTCATTGAAGGATGTTTGTGAAAAAGAAGAAGACAATGAGAAGGAAAGACCAACAAGAAACATGTCTCATTCATTATCACCTAAAAAATATTCAAGAAACAGAGTATTGGAGAAAACACTGAGTAATTACAAGAGTCTTGGAGATCTCGAGCTTGAAGAATTACGAGGTTTCATGGATTTAGGATTCATATTCCGCAAAGAACATATAAGCAAGAGAATGATAAATGTAATTCCTGGATTACAGAGGCTTGAAATAGAGATATCCGAAGACGAAGAAAAAAATTGTGAAAATTCTGAAGCAATTGTAACAGAAGGAGAAGAAGATGATAAAAGGGAAATTGCGCGACCTTATTTGTCTGAGGCATGGCTTATTAAAAGGCCTAATTCACCATTGTTGAATATGAGGATACCAAGAATTTCTGCAGCTTCTGATATGAAGAAACATTTGAGATATTGGGCTAAAACAGTTGCAACTGTGGTTATGCAAGAATCTTGATTTTGTGTACAGAGTATCTCGCGTTGATTTCTCAGATGATCATTCAATTAACTGTTATTATCTCATAAAGTTATTTTCTAGAACTTATATTGTTTAAACATATTGCATTCACCAACCAAATGTAAGATATAATTGAAATTTCTCTGTCTTTAATTCGAGGTTTTGAATTCGAACATTTCAGTAGAGAGCTATTTAGTTGGCTTATTTGATGTGAATTCAGACTAACCAAATAGAGAAAAGGGTATTGCATACTTAGCCATATGAGTGAAGATTGTATTGAATAAATAGCACCAAGTAGCTGCTTTTTGATACAATATTTAAACTATAGCCAGATTTATAATGTGTTTAAAGTTTATCGATATGGGGCATCCATTAGGTGATATTTTTTAGGCTATATTTGGTAAAGACGATCAAAGTGCAAAGATACTCAATTTTAATGTCACTATTTAAGTTATATTTTAAGTTTATAAAATTTATATGTTTATTCGCTTTAAATCAATTTCAGTTCTAAGAAATGTGAATGGAATTAGTTTTACAAAATCCAATTGCAAACAAAATGTCTGAAGTTTTATATATAAAAACAATAAATTATTATGTCTCAACTTGAATCATTTAAAATTAGATTTTATCAAGATTTATAACTTCAGATACCATATATATATATATATATATTTAAAGTGATTCCGTTATTCTGAATTAGATAGCCGACTAGACACAAATAAATAGTAATATCTAAATAAAATACCCATAAAATATTTTACGGTAAAGAATGAGCAAACAAATTTAAACAGTATATACCTTTTCCCTTCATTTTCCACTCGCACGACAAGAATGAGATTATACCTTTGTCAAAATATTTGTCTAATATTTTAGGAACTTGAATGAAATTATTCATCTTCAAATTTATAGTTAAGGTTTCTTATAATGAAATCCAAGATTGTATATTCCAACATATGATTAATATTTTATTAATTTGAAATAATTCTACAAATATAAATAAATACATTGAATAAGTTGTTTGTACAGATTTTTTATTTTGAAGAAATCAATGTGTAGATACAACATATAGTGTTTTTAATGAAACAAAGTTGAAAATTTTCGTATATTTTCTGAATTAGACAAAATATAATCTTCTACTAATGCTACAAATTAGATCTCATAAATATTAGGGAAAAAATTGAAAAAATTCAAACAAGCAGAGATATATAGTTACCTAAGTATATGTGGCTACCTAGTGGAGTCATATATCTCCTACCTGAAGGATTAAAGGTACATGTGTATCAATTCAAGAAATAATACTTGTTTGAAATATTAGAAAACATATGAGCCAAGAAGTGTATTTAAATCCAACCCAAACAATTTTGTGAATGTAACGTACATTACCACCCACATTGCCAAATTTTTGGTCATTAATTGTTTAGTAATATCACAAATATGATAATGAGTTAAAAAAACTTGAAAATAAAAAAGAACCGTAGGTTAAAACAACTGATTGATAGGCAGTTTTGTTGGCCTAGGCAAAAGACAAAGGAAAACAAATTTGGATTAAGATAACAGTGGAGCTGATTATTTTAGAGTTTGAAGCAACGATCGCGAAGCAAAAAAATTGATGTTGATAAAAAACATAGAAAATTTTATATTCGATAAAATGCTGACTTGAAGTGGATAGCGTTTACAAATACGAAGTCAACTGTTGAGAAGGATGAGTTAATGAGTCAAAACTTGTCTAGATAAGGCGATAGCAAAACATGAATAATCCTTCAACGTATTGACTTGACCATGGCAAAAAAAATGAGGCATCTCATGAGCACCGGACATTGACATTTAATTTGCACTATAGCATGGTTTTAAATGTAACTTTACTATAACAATAATTTATTTACATATTCTCCTTTATCAAGCCTTTCCTTGTCTATTAAAAAAAAATAGTGACGGAATAATATATGTTTTCACTCTAATATAAAGAAAAAAAATATTTGATTTGATGTTTAACAGTACAAAATCAACTTTAAATCATCTTATTACAATTACTAAAATTTTATCAAAATTTAACATGATACATATTTATTCTTCTATCATTGCCAAAATTATGTCGAGTGTTTAAATCTATTATGGATTATAATGAATGATATATGGGTATTTTCTCATTTTGTGAACCTTATAATTATTTCTTGTGTATGAGCATTATAACTTTAAAACCAAATGTGTTTAGTCAATTTTTATATTTTCTTCTAAGGTAAAAAGAAAAACTTTCATCACTATTATTATAATTTATCAAATTTATGTTCGTTATTTTTTTTTAAGTCGATGATCTATCGGAATTTCGTCTCAATTTTCCAACGAGAACTTTTTAGTTGTATTTGGCGGTCGAAAATCAGACGGTACAAATCCAACCACATTATTTAAAACTAGACTTAATTCCACTCACAATTTTTATTATTATTATATATACAAAATAAAATCAGCACCACATGCTTTACTGATGATTTAGTTGATTTACTCCATTAATTAGCAGTTATAATGCTGCTAACTTAGGATTAAAGTTGACATCAATTTTTACTTAGACCATTTTAATTAGACTTTGTTCATTTTAGACACTTCATGTCATATTCCACTATATCATTTTGACACTTTTTATTGACATGACATAGTGAGTGTGATAGACTGCTTACCCTAGTGTGGAAAGCTTATTTAACCTTTTTTTTTTTATTTTTTTTCTTCTTTTCTTCCCCATTTTTAGCCACCATTTCCCAAAACTTAAACTCCTTCCATGAAGAAATAGATCTAATGGTACTACAGAGGAAGAAACGGATTTCATCGCAAAGATATTTCAAACTTAAACATAGGAATGGCTGTGCAAGTGGGGTGGTGGAGAAAAAAACATAGGAATTGCTGTGCAAGTGGTTAATTTTTTTTAAAAATTATTTGGATAAAAAGTTGTCATATGTCATTAAATCATTGACCTTTTTTGGGAAATAGGTCTCAAATATATTCGAATTTTGACCGAAATCGTTTTAACAATTCCAAACTTTGGGCAGGGGCAATAGGTCCTGCCCAAAGTTTGGGATTGTTACAACAATTTCGATCAAAGTTCAGATCTATTTCAAATCCCCCTTTTTTTTTCTACTCAAAATTTATTATGTAAGAATTATTTTCACTATATATGCTCCATGTCTTTATTTAATTCACTATTTTTGACACGTCATCAACAAGTATCTTACACATTTGATTGGTTGTCAAAAATGTGTCAAAATGATACGCCACACATGATAGAAGGTGTCTAAAATGAACAAAATCTAATTAGAGCGTCTAAATAAAATTTGATGCTACTTTGGAGGGACAGCGATGAGTGCCACCAAAAAAGTAACAGTGGGGTAAGTGCATGCTGGGTAGTACTAAAAGTCATATCAACCATAGTTTATTATTGTGGTTCACATAACTTGTTAATGTTTGTTAGAAAAATATTATTAAAAAAAATTAAGGATTATTAGAAATTTCTCTAATTAATTTTACTCAAAAGAATTAATGACATTTTTATTAGCCTTCAAAGGCAACATTATCTACCATTACTTTTCTTTATCAAACATAACTGATGCCAATATTTCATAAATTTAATTTGGTGGAATCAATTGTATTTATGGTCATTTACTACTATTCTTAACTCTTGTTTTAAAATGTTGGAAGATTTTGATATAGTCTTTTCCTATATAAATTTATACTGACTATGGTATTGTAATGTTGACGCTTGGTGATTAATACAAATTTAGTTACCAAATAAAAGAGGAAGTGGAAAATAGAGATTGGCTAAGAATAGAGTGAAAAACAGTGAGTTACTGTATGGGAATTTCTTTCTTTTTTTGATTCTTTTTTACTGGTTTTCTATAATAAAAAATCTTTGTAGATTCTCATTTCTAATTATTTTTTTTTACCTTACAAGCTTATTGAATATTGAGAAATGCATCCAAATTGAGTGAAATATATCACAAGCACACGTCAAGCTATGAGAAGTTAGAGTCCGTATGGATTGGTTTAAGAAAAGTAATTTTTAAATCAAAAATAAAAAGTCAAATTTAAATGACTTCTAAGTTAAAAAATAAAAGTAGGGGAGATCTGTTTTTGGATTTTTAATTTATTTTAAGTTATTTTAAACTTATTTTAGTTATTTTTAACCTTGTCAAACACTTCCTAACTTATTTTAACTCATTTTTTTTACTTATTTTAAATTAGTTTTATATTTGCTAAACATTTTCAGAAGTCAAAAACTGACTTAAAAATAAATTTGACCAACTTTTATGCCAATTAAACACCCTCTTAATTATGTGAGTTTCAATATTTGATAACAATGCTGCACTCCCCAGTCCCCACTATGAAATTTCCCACTAAATTGTGGTTATTGTTTGTTTCACCAACAAAAGGGGTGGCAAAGCCATACAAAATGTCAAACATATTATTCCATATATAATCAATGTTCTTCTTGTCTATTGTGACCTTAGTTGTTGATGGACCAGATATTTTGACTTTTATTTTTGTTTCATATTTGAGTTTGGTATTCACATTAAAGTCCGATAAAAATAAACATTGGAATCTAATTAAATTCGCTTTCACTTCGAAAAGTCCCATATTGGGGTAAAATGTAAAATACTCCCTAACAAAGATAACTATATACTCAGGTGCACTCAATGAAGGAGTATTTATCACTCCACTTCAATCCTTGTTGGTCCATATATGTTTTGTCAATGTCTAATTCTTATAGACTGAAAAATAATACTCTCTTTTTAGTCCATATTAAGTGAAATGTTCGGTCGTGGCACACCTCTTAAGAAAAATATTTTAGGACATAAATAAAATGCTATTTTCTACATACCATCACCCTTTTGATTATTTCAAACTATTCTCCTAGAAAATGTTAAGTAGTGAAGAATCTTGAAGGGCAAATATGAAATAGAAAATTTAATTATTTTCTTGAATTTTGAACAATTCACTTATTCATTTAATATGGACTCGAACGAGTGATATTTACGTTAT